CCCCCCCCCCAACATTGCAAGCTCACCATTCTAGGTGACAATAGAACTTATACTTTTGTGTTTTTAAATAGATTTTCCCCAAGGAAGAAAATTTCATTCAATATTTCCTTTCGGTAACAATCAAGTAATCATGTTTGGTGGTGCACATTTTGATACAGTAACTAGTGCTCATCATACTGTTAGCGAACATTTATGGACGTTTGATTTTGAAAAATTAGAATGGTCTATGTTACAATCCTTGAACATGGTTCAATCAACTTACTTTCATGCTGCTGCTATGAATTCGGTGATTATTTCTTTTGATTACTTTAATTCTTAATTTAATTTTAAAATTTTAGCGCGGCGAAATATGGACACATGGAGGTGTTATACAAGATTCAGCGGCAATTCCTCATGAAACAAGAATAACAAACTTATATAAAATGCATACTCGTGTACTTCATCTAAGTGAAATTGCTTGGAATTATTTTTTAAATTGCCTTGCTGATCGCAAAAGTCTTTTGCAACAGCCAGAAGTCTTGTCACGACTTAACATTCCAAAACGATTTGTCGGCCGCATTCATTAAGCACGTTTTGTCTGATGGCTGTTTGTTCAAATATTTTTCCTATTGTTTTCTATAAATAAATTTTACCGTTGAGAAAAAAAACCGATTACATATTCAAGAGTAAAACTTTATCATTTTGAGAAGCTGTCGATAAATAAATAAATAAAATTTAAATGAACAGAATGTCTTGATTTAACTATCGAATGTCAATCTGAAATGAAGAGTTCAACCATATCTCTTCAACAGATGAAATTTTCTCATCGATATTTGAAAGCTTTATAACTCGAGGAGATGTTGTTCAAAACTTCTAAGTTTTCTGCATGGAAACCATTCTAGCTGACTTTTTCATATACGCAAAGCTTCAGGTTAAAGTTCGAAAGCATGAATCGTTCAATGATCTGGCGTCCTCTAAAAATCGAGATAGATTTAAAATTCGATAACTTATCAAAAAAAAATTTTTTTCAAATTTTTATTAGAAACTCATTCAGTATCTATATGCAAAAAGTCATTAATATTGCAAGTAGGCGTTCGGTGAGGCTGCTCCTGTGGAATTATTTTTTGGTTATGACATCTAACAAGAAATAAATGGCATCGTTAGGAGCCGTTCAATTGCATAATATGAATACAAACAGATCTCAGTAGAACTACGGGCAAAAAACATTCGACAAAAACTCAGGCCTATAAGACTTTTTTAATTGAATCCCTAATTAAATATTTTCCTATTGATAACAATCATTGAGTAATCCTATAAGTTTCAACTAGAACGAACATGTTTTTCTTGAGATACTCAATCGTATAAAAAAAAATAAGAATCCACTATAGAAGGACATGTTAATTGCATTGACGTGGAATTAAATTGTGCCGAGAAAGATGTAGCAGTTTTCATCAAAACCCTGAAGAAAAAAAAACAAATCATTTATACGGGCATAGCATTTCATTGGTGGATTATGAATCTTGAGTTCTGTTGTGAACGTGTTTAATCTTTAAAAGTTCTATGTATACCTATAATAACATGTGTGGCCAAATTCCTTGGCAAATAATGTTGATTTTTCTACTTGGCCGAAAATCTAAATACTTCTTCTAAAGCATTTATTAGTTAGATTTCTTTTTCCTTGGGATCAATATATTTTATTTTATGCTCAGCTAAAAACTGATAGGAATATATTCTTGAACTATTTTGAAATATTTGGACTCTGATGAATTATTGATGCATTTTTTGAAATTATAACACATTGGTTTTATTCTAAAAAAAAATAAATTACAACAACAAAACATAAAATTGTCTTTTTGAGTATTAATGTAAATATATGGAAACATATACAGTAAAAGTCATCGTCGTCCATGTAGTCGGCCAATATGAAACAATAAGAATAAAGTACAGCCAAAACTTGGAGCAAATAGAGCTATCATAAGTAATGCGAGTACAAGTTTCGAATGATTATCAAACATGCCAATAGTTGTTTGATCAACGCTTACTGTTTCTGTGCTATTAAAGTACAAAGAAGGCATCGTCTGCTGATGTTGATAATGTAAAAGTGCAGCAAGATAAATAAAGAAAATAAAGAGAGCAAACTTGGTGGTATGTTACTGTTGTTTTACACGCATATGCGTTCATAATAATCCAAAATTATTTGCAATTTAATTAAACCCGTGAGAAAAAATAGTTTCATATGAAGCCTTCGAACATCGAGTATGAAACCTTCAAAATTATCGGATTCATTCAACGATAATATTGAATCTGATTTGAATTCAAAATTAACAAATTGATCTATTCATTTTTCTATCAATTATTCGCTATTTAAAACTAGGATATTCTTATAAATGGAAACTACATGAAAAAAACGATTTTTAAATTTTGTCATTAAAAAATTGAGCTAGAGACAAATCTTAAAGCGAATCACATTGATGTTCCTGTTTTAAGATATAATTATCTTCATAATGCATCTTTTTAATTGCTTATAGCTTCTTATTAGAATATTCTCCCATCAAGTATATTAATAATAAATGTAATCTCTCGAATAAATGCGAATGATAACTGTAAGAAGTTTTTATTGTTGAAATTTTCTTCCGATTAATTTCGACGTGTCGGCAGATGTTATTAAAAGATTGATTGAATGAAAGTTTTCTTGTCTTTTTTATATTCCTTCAGTCACATAAGTTACGAAACACTTTATTTAGGTTTGTTATTTCTCTTTGATTTTCTCTCTCTCTCTCTCTCTCTTTCTGTCTCTATTATTTCTTTTCTTTTTGACACTAGAATTTCATAGATCTATCTTGCATACATAAAATATTATGGTGCAACAGCCTGTCATACATCTCTTTATTGTAACATTTATTCTAAACTAAAAGGAATCAACGAGTATAGAGTACTATTACGAAACATAACAATAGAACGTTCGATCTGTCATTTTACAGATTGTCGAAAACTTCTAATTAAGAAAAGATGGCATCATATTGAAGTCTTTCTTTTCACGTATATCTGGAAAATGTCATAATAGCAACCAATGATAACTAATGACATCTATAATATATAAAAAATCTGATTAAGTATATTGTTTCTATTGTTTATTTCTCGTACGAAAAGACTGTAGTGGATAAATTAATTTTCTAAAATAAAAATAAAAATTTCCAGGTAGTCATTGTTTTTCCATTGGTAATGATATGACATCTAGAAAATGATAATGGCCGTCATTGACCCAAATGTGTGGCTTTTAACCGGTTGTTTAATTCTTATCGTTTATATATATACAGAAATATATACTTAATTATTTTTTTTACCTGAAAAAAATTTTCATTGAAAATCACTTAAACTTTTGTGCTAGTAGGTTTTTCACCGATTTGTCAATTATGCATTTCTATCGCAACTATTTCTCTTGTTGTTCTTTTATTTGGTATAAGTAACATCGGATTCATTCTTCTTCTTCTTTTTTTCTTTTTTGTTTACACATTTTTCAACACCTTTCATAGTTCAAATTCGTCTATTTGTTTTTAGTATTTAAAACTATCGAAAAGAATGTGTAACAAGCGATTTCTTTTGTTCACAATAGTCTAATCCTGATAACCATATCTTGTGCACGTCGTTTCTTTGCAAAATAACAACAACTTCACGTCTATTCAGTGACATGTTGATTGATTGATTGATAAATTGGAGAGAAGAGACCACAATTGTCGTCACTAATGAATATATCATTTTTGATTTCTTTTTTTCTTCTTTTCTCTCTTTAATTTCCACAGATCAACCAGATAATTCTTCTTCTTGTTCTTCTACGTCTTTTTTCATCTGTTCTTTTGCTAACCACCAACACTCCTCTACCATCACTATGATCGTCAAAAGATAATCGCTTCTTTATGTTCCGTTTATTGTATATAGGCGAATGTATGCATACACGTTCGTTCTTTTCTTCTCTCTTCTACTGTTTGTTCACATCGCTGCCGTTGATGACCTCGCCTTGACTGATACTGGATATGTGTAGAATAGTAATACATATAGTAGTTTAGTGCCCGGAATACTCTTCTATTCATGTTTATACTATTATGATATTTATAATCGTTTTTAAAAATTCAAGAGTCTCAAAAAGAAAAACACAATTTTCTGTTAGAATCAATTTGTTTCGATTAGGTCTGATTTTCTATTCGCCCATCGGGGTACCATCTGTTGCATATCACATTAGGGGTTTGTGTGTTTTTTCTTTTTCTTCTTCTTCTTCTGCTATGCGGTGTAACTGAACACTATATATAGATGGTGATGACAGATAGGAACAAACTGTATGCAATAGAAACCTATATTACAGCTCATTTTTCATTGTCTTGATGTTTTTCTTTTATGAATTATAACAAGACTAACAAGGATTGTGTTCTGGTAGAAATCGAATCCGATCGCGAATAGAAATTCGTTAATGATATTATTAATTTTTCGTCTCTTTCCGTTTATCTATTAATCCTCTGTTTTCTATTCACTATGATGGTAACGAACAGATCAATTGTATTGATTTTGCGATTTACTGTCTTCACACTCTATTCTGTTATAAGTAGCTTTGATATCAATTGAAGTTCTTTTCTTTTTATCTATTTTCAAATGAAATAAAAAATACTCTTATTATTGAGCAGTTAACTAAGTAACTCTTCAATCATAGCAGGATTTTTATTGACTGAAATTGGCTCAGTTATTCTCTCTATGAGTATTTCTAATGGTGAGGATCGTTCATAAGTATATTTTTATTCTAGATAATATGCCAGTTGAAAGTGGCAATCAATCGACAATAAAAGGTAAATGAAAATATTTATATGAATCTCTTGATAGAAACAAAAAAGAAGAAGAACAAAACCATTGTATCCTATTTTAACCTAAGCTTATGTCAATACAGAGTTATGTTACATGTGTATTACTAATATTAGTACTCGGAACAACGCATAATCAAATAATTTCCTTGATATTGATACAATATTGAAGAAAAAAGGTTGTAGCCTACTCTATACGATTTTCGTTTTCCTATGAACATTACGGGATTAACACATGTCGTTTTCCAGTCGTTATTGTCTTTATAGAGCTCATCAGGGCCGGATTTATTTGAGCTATAAGTTGATACTATTCATGGAATTTTTTATCCAAAATCCGAGAATCACCCTAGAGTTACGAAATAATTTCTTCCGTTTTTATTTTATATTCGCTTACTAGTGTATTCTCTCGTGCATCTCTCTCAGACGCCTGAAGCCGTCCTATGATAGAGGTTAATCCATATCTAAATATTATTCTGTTTGGTATGTCGTAAAAAGATCACAACTAAGAGAAACACTGCAAGAATAGTACTTGTTATTCTTTGTTGCTGAATTTTTATCTTATTTTAGAAAATTGTTCAACAATTTTATTGAATACACCAGAATTTCATGCCGAATTAACAAATTTATTAATCTCTGAAGGCAATAAAGAATCACTTGAAACACTCTCAAATCTACTTCTACCAATAACTAAACTTGATGCAACAGCTTGTAAAGGTATGTCGGAAAATTCTCAAGTCAAACCTAAACTAAAAACAAAATATTTCAGGTCCTGTTCTACCTGTAAATGATATACGTGGTATTGATAGTCGTTCGTATGCTAAGAACGAACGGTATTTACGATGTAAGTTAGCTTCGCTTCATCGAGTTATTGATCTTTATGGTTGGAATTGTGGTACTTGTTCTAATCATGCATCCGTAAGTTTTTAATTATCAAGTCTATTCCTTCTTTTTTTTTACATTCTATTGTTTTTTCTCTCTCTCTCTCTCTCTCCATAGATCCGGGTTAATAATAGTGCAGATCAATTTCTTATTAAACCTATTGGCTTAGCTTTTCATGAGATAACTGGCTCATCTCTTATTAAAATTGATTCTAATGGTAAGAATATCTGAAAACGAGAGAACGTGCATTGCTTAGAACAAATTATTTAGGTTCAATCATCGATGCTGGTAGTACAACATTCGGTGTCAATGCACTTAGTTTTTCATTATATTCATTTGTTTATAAACACCGTCCAGATATTAATTGTATAATTCATGTTCAAACGCCAGCTGCAACCGCTGTTTCTGCGATGAAATGTGGTCTTTTATCGCTCAGTCAAGAATCATTGGTATGTGGTAAAGCAACAACACATTCAATTGATATTGATTTGACAACAAATCGTTTATCGCTTGATGCAAATGTTCAGCAATCAACAGCCAAAATTCTTATACTTCCAAATTATGGAATATTAGCTTGTGGTTCAACCGTAGAAGAAGCATGGCATATAACGTTCAATCTAATATTAGCATGTGAATCACAATTAAGAACTGTTTCAGTCGGTCTTCATAATATAATTTTACCATCGGAAGATTCAATGAAACAAGTAACCAATACGGTTAATGCAGGTGGTGGTGGAGTCAATACAACGGATGTTAAATGGGCTGTTGGCGAACTTGAATGGTCAACATTAATGATCGTTTTAGATCGAGCTGTATGTTCAAAGTTTTCATTGAGTAGATGAATATTGATTTCAATGTCAAGTATAAGCGATAAGAGGCTCGACTTTGAATCGATTAAAAAATTCAAGTGGCGTTTAAAAGAAGGAGATAGTTTAAGTGAGGGCGTAAAAAAAGTTTGACTTTGCCGATAGCTGATGATTGTGTCAGAATGAAAGAATAGCGAGTACAAGGCTAACAGCTAGTGACTTGCAGCTTTCAATAATCGAATAAAGACAGTATGAGATATCTTCATACTTGATATCATATCGAAAAGTCCGTATATTATTTATTTTTTGACTGTTAAGAGCAAAAAAAACTTTTACCTTTTTCTTAAATCCTTGGATGCCTATCTCTATTCCGCCAGACACTTATTCTGCGTCAATAATTACTCTTGTGGCCTTTCTCTTTCCAGCGGCATCTTGTCGCAACGCTAGGTAATCGAAAAGGAGTTAAAACCATATTGAAATAAAATATAAGTGTTGCCTTAATCCTCATATATTGATACACACGCACAGAGACGGCATCGATTCTTTAGGTTCCACAAGGACAAAATTTGAAATTATTCTTTAACAAAAAAATCTATCAATATTGAATCGTCTGATTGATTTGTCTTTTTCCTACAGGCTACTCTACAAGTTTGTGAAGGACGACCGCTCGCCTATTATCTAATATTGTTGCATAGCGTGAAACAGCACACACAACTGTATTAGAATTTAGCTAGTCATTTTTTAATTTTAATTTTAGGGCTACCATACTGGTTACATCTATCGTGAACCGTTGATTCGATTCATTGACAAACATTGATATGAATATAATTAATCTTGTGTGCCCCCTCTTCTTTCTTTTTGTTTTGTGCTTTTGTTTGGTTGATTGTTTTCTTTTTGGATATGTTTACCTCTCTATAATTAATAACTTGTTGTGTCATAAACTGCACGGTCTTTCGACTTCATATTTATATGCGAAATCCTTTTCACATATCCTATTTGTTGAAAACCAAAAAAAAAGAAATACATACAAATGTATATTTTTCAGATAGTTCTCTTCTGCTTCTTTTTTCATCAAACAAAACATGCCGACAGCAACAAATGGTACATATGTTGAATCACCAGTAAAAAATCAATCGTATCAACAAAATGATAATAACAATGATGATGATTATCGTCGAGAACTTGAACGACCAGCTGACGTTGTCGAAGATATGCGTCAAATGGGACAACGACAGCGTGTTAGAACAATATTAAATTCTAAAGAATTTCGTGATGAACTCGAAGAAATTATAACTGATGCATTAAAACACGGACCACATCCTGCATCAATAATTGCATTACAACAAATATCGGAATTACTATTGCCACATACATCACGTTGGACAACTGTGTCGTCATTGTCGCGTGCTGGGGGCTCGGTTATTGTACCAATTAATGATATACGTGGCGTGGATTCACAAGGTTATTCGAAAAGTGAACGATTACTTCGATGTAAATTAGCATCACTTTATCGTCTCGTGGATTTATTTGGATGGTCACAAGGCATTTATAATCATATAACGGTTTGTTTTGTTTTCTAATCAATAGAAATCTATTCTTCTTAGCGTCATAGAGATCGAATTTCTTCGTTACGGATTAATAGACGCAACAATGCAAAAGATACTATTTTGTTATTTCTTAGATAGAACGGTCGTATCTATAGATTTTATGTTGTTTTGGTCAATCTGTCAGATTTTTTTTCTTCAATTTCATTGATTAGAGAAAATTTTATATACAAATCAAAAGTAATTTATTATTATTAGAAACTTGTCAATAGTGTTACTTGATAGATAACAGATGGACGAAGATATACCAACAGATTCTTCGCTATTGCATGCTTGTTCGCATTAGCAGCAGTATTTTCCGTTTGGAATCGCATGGGATATATCCAAAAATAAATATGGCGTGATAAGATGTTGTTTAAAAAACTAGTCTCGTGTCTCGAATAGATGAAACGTGACCACATTAGGATTAGATTGACGCTGCTGTTTGTCGTGTCTCATCTAAAGGTTAACTGCTGTTTGATCTATGAATAGAATGTTACAGTAGCGAAATGATGCATAGAACATTTAGTTCATTTACGATAAATAAATGCAATTATAAGCGAAGCCATGTCTGAAGTGTGTTCAGGAACTGTTCAGTTTGATATAAAATATGTAGAAGATTTAATTTTGAAAACGAAAATATGCAATCGGATAAAATCACGAGTATTTTACAACTATAATAGGAAAACAAACTTTAAGATGCATCAAAAACTAATCATGTCTACAGCATTGAAATGAATTTGAATGAAAATTTTGATTTTAGGTTCGTGTCAATCAAGAACTCGAACATTTTTTAATTAATCCCTTTGGTTTGATGTACCATGAAGTAACAGGTTCAAGTTTAGTGAAAGTTGATATTGCCGGTATGTTAAAACTCGACACTATTTGTTTTTTTCATCATCATTTTTTTTTTCTTTTCCGTAGGTAATATCATTGATCCCGGTAGTACAACCTATGGAATCAACCGTGCTGGTTATACACTTCATTCGGCTGTACACAAAGCACGACCCGATCTTAAATGTGTTATACATTTACATACGCCGGCTGTTGCTGCTGTATCAGCGATGAAATGTGGTCTTTTACCGTTATCACAGGATGCTTTGTTTTGTGGGAAAATTTCCTATCATGATTATCGTGGAATATTGATTGAAGACGATGTGAAAAAATTACTTGTCGAAGATTTAGGTCCAATAAATAAAGTTATGATTTTACGTAATCATGGTTTTGTTGCATGTGGTGAAACAATTGAAGAAGCATGGAAATATGCATTTAATGTTATTAATGCTTGTGAAGTACAAGTACGCGCAGCACCTATGGGCATCGATCAATTGTATCTACCATCAAGTGAACAACAAAAACGAGTAAATAGTCCTATTTTAGAGAAGAAAAGTTACAAATAATTTTTTTTTGTCGCAGATTGCTGATGTACTTCATGGAAATATCAATGAAGCAACTGGAGATAAAAAATGGAAAATAGGTGAACTTGAATTTGAAAGTTTGATGCGTATTTTGGACAATGCTGGTTTTCGTACGGGTTATGTTTATCGTCAACCATTAATTCGTACTATTGATAAAACAACGTCATTTAAAGATGTTGAAGTTCCACCAGCTGCTTCATCGGCTACATCATTTGCTGAACAGGCCTATCCCGAAGCTTAGTAAGTTATCATGAAAATCTTCTATTTCTATCGCGTAAATTTCTGTTTCATCTAGTTCACCAACACGTCAAGCTCAACGTACAACAGAATGGCGTAATTCGCCGAATGCTTATTTAAAACAAGAAATTGAAGAAACAGGAACACCCAATCCTAAGAAAGTTACCAAAGTAAGTTTTTTTGAAATCCGATGTTTAGTATTTGTTTAGTCAGATATTGTTCTTGAATTTTTTTCTAATATTCCAGCAGCATCACTAATCCTGTGTCTACACTCTAAATCGTACATTGCAATTCGAGTAGATTAAGCTCAGAGCTCCTTGTGTACAGGAAAATTATCTATTTGTGCTAAGTGAAAAACGAACGTCTGAACTTTCATGCTGATATAAGCAATCTCTGTACTTCCTCTACACCTTCAGGCAACTAAAAAGATAATTTCTAGTTTGTATTTGTTTTATTAACGATGTAAAAAAGAATACTGGTAACTCTAATTGATGTATAATCGAGATGTTCACGTAATGAAACTCTACAGTAAGTCCTATGACGCAAGTCTCTTAAGTGTACCTCACCGATCGAATTCATCAATTATTCTAATATACAACTTAGTGAGATTAGAGGAATACTAAAAAATGCAACTCTATACAGAATTCATCTGTCTCTATATATCGTTCTCGGCAAATGAGTCATCCTAAGATTTCTTTTTCTATTAAGATCTAATTCATTGGTATATTTGAAAGTAAAAACTTTTCCTTTGCAGTGGGTACCAGATACAGGTTTAAAACATTCGACACCAATTAAAATCGATACAAAACATCAATTCGCACCCAGTAATGTTGGTACAAAAGAACTTAAAATTCATCAAAAACAATTCAAAGAAGATCGTTTCAATGAAAAAGTTTCTGCTGGTTATCAATCTAAACTTCTTGAAAATGCCTCTTGGGACGATGCATCACAAATGAAAGTAAGTTATTCTATATTTTATTTTATCTAATACCAAAAATCAAAAAACTTCTCTTGATTTCATTTTCCAGGAACCACATCAGACATCATCCGAAGCTGTTGTTATTGTTGGTGCTGCATCAAAAGGCATTATTAAACGTGATCAACAAAACAATGCAATTGTTTATAAAAGTTACTATGCTCAAAATCCATTTGCTCATATCGATAATGATGATATCGAAAAATACAAGCGAGAAGTTGAACAGAATCAAATGCGCGAACAAGGTTTGTATTTTTAGATCTTTTAATTTATTCTTCGATAAATATTTTCTTCGTTCAGCATTCAAGAAAAATGCTCTACTTGATGAAATACGAAAGGGTATATCTAACGCTTCATTGATTCACTTTGACACGCCGTTTCATGATTTTTTTTCTTTTTACGTTCCGTAGGGAGCAAAAATTTGCAGACAAAATCTACTAATAATAAAAATAGGGCTGGTGTGCGGCAGACTACTTTTTTTTATTGCTTGATATTAATAAGCATGTGTTCTTCTGTTCTTCTCTGCTTATGAAGGAAATTTGAAAATAACTAAATATTCCCTTTCCCTTAGAATTTATTCTATCACGTGAGCGTGAATATTGCACATACTTGATAATAGTGAAAGAAAATCTGTGTACGACTCAATTCGATTAAGAAATATTCTATGTAGTAAATAGAGATGAATATAGAATTTTACGATCTGATGTAGATCATGAGCATAAAACATTTTTTTGTTTTTAGCGAGCCATTGCTTACCAAAGAGAAAGTTCCGATGAGGTTTCGGTGAAACTTTATCAGCTTCAGCAAACATATTTTTGTGATATTTACAGTTTCGTAAGAGAACGATGTAGGACACGTGCTTGCTATTCAAGGTTTTACTTTCTTTTGTGTAGTAAACTCAAATATTAATTTTCAGAAACTTCTGCCTCATAACCTATCTATAAAAAGAAACTACTATTTATACACTATATACATTAATAGCTTGTTTCCGAAGATATCTAGTAAATTTTTTTTAGATTCTACCTGAAACTTAGCCTAAAGACTTGTTTTGAGTAACTGGAAATTCTTTTTTTCTATTTTTATTTGTAATTAAAATAATTATCAATTAAAAAAAATTTTCTAATGAGTTCTTTCGAGAAAAAAAACGACTTCTCCCATTTAATTAACCAAATGTCGTATCTGTCTTGAATTGAATATTCTCGGATTAATATCGCATGGATTTTGTTACCCTTGATTTATCTACAAAAACATTTGAAGGTCAACTTTTTCGAAAACATTTTCTCTTCCTTAACAATCGAACTGATTCTTTACCTTAAAAAAAGCAACCTGTTTACTTTGTAATACAACCTCATTCTCTATCCTGCATCGATCCTTTTAAAAGCATGAGCTAAATTTCATACGATAAAAGCAAGACGGTACCGAACTAATCGAATGTTTCTATTTTAGGAAATGATTCTCAATATGACGATCAATTTGATGGCAGAGGTAAGTACCCTTTAAGAAATGTGTTTGCTGCTACACTCTCTCTCTCTCTGTGTGTGATTCATTATAATTATAAATTCAACATATGCCTATAAATATATTCATGCAACAAGAGAAAATGATCCATTCTACAGTGCGCCCACTGATTAGAAGATCAACAATTTTTTTACGTACCTGTTGTTCTTCGGGTTATTTTATTTCCTACCTTTTTCGCCTCGTCTTCGCCTCTTACTCATTCTTGTCTTTTACCCGATAAAAGCAAATGTCACATATCATTGCCATCTGTTACACATGCATTAAGTTTTTATGATTCATCATTCAATATTCTACGTGGAATTTAACAAATTTATCAAGAAGAACAAAAGCAAATAGATATACAATAAACACTACAGGTAAGCCATTTTTCTTATCTAAATACGACTAGTTTAAAGAGAAATTTTTTTTTTAAAAAGCATCGGTTATATATTTAAGACTTTTTAAGTACTCTTGAGTTTCACCCGTTTTTTTATATTGAAAAATGTGCTCGGCCTATTATTTGAATGATTAATGGATCGAAAAGCAATCCGACTAGTGCAACTGTAAATGTTTGAAACTCTTGACTCATCGCCATAGAGAGAGACAGAACGGGGGAAAAAAGGTCCTAACTGTTGTGTTTACTCCCTGTAAATTTGATCGTGACTCAGAAATATATATTTTTCTTTCTTTCTTTTTAGCATAATAATCAGAGAAGAACTAATCCTGATTGTTCGTTGCGGTAGTAATGTTAGCTTAGTAAAAAGAGAAAAGAACACATGAAGTTCTTGGCATATTTAAAACAGAAGAGAACAAGAAGTGATGATTTGAATATACAGAACATATATACTATTAGCGAAAAAAACCGTCGAGAATATCTAATAGAAAAAAGTCAACACCTATTGAATAAATATTTTTTCTAGTTTAAATGCAACAAACGCAAATCTCTCGATCATCATCCTCCGATCGGTTAAGTAATTCAACTTCCTCTCGAGTTGTAATTCAAAATGACCAAACATTACCGTTGAATATCATGCCATCGTCAGTTGTAACAACTAGAACTCAATCTACAACTTATACACAAACTATTCAAGGCATTCCATCATCATTTCCATCGAAATCTATTCCATCATTTGCTGAAACTCAAGTATTATCTGTTTACTATCCAACTAAAACTCCAATACCTCCATCCAATAATGATAAATGTACATTTTATGAACAACAAGACCGTGAGCCAATGCGTTATCGTCTGTCGTATGATCCATTGTCGCTAACAAAATCAACTCAAACATCCCTATCATCAACACCATTATCAACACATAGCTCAACATTAATTATTCATGCAAATGATAAACGTAATCCTAATTATAAACAATGTGTTAAACTTCATTCAGGTAGTCAAAATCTATCAAATGATATTATAAATCAAACGGCATCACCCAATGAACTTCTCGAAGAATCACAGTATTCCTATGAAGAATATATTTTAGATGTTGATGACAAACAAAATCGAGCCGCATCAGCATCATCTTCCGATTCATCGGCCACAACTGTTATTACTCAAAATAATGAGCTCAATTCTTCGAATCGAGAAAAATCGGTTGTTATCAATAATCAACGAATATCTAGTTGGCCGCCTGTTCCAGATGATGTTGTAGCTATAGATGTTCAATATGAAAATGATGAAAAAATACGTTTATCACAATCACAAGTTTCTGATAGGTCAGCTCGCGTAATACCAATATTGGTAACAAGTAATCTTATTGAAAAAACGAATGTAACATCAAATAATCTTCCTCGTATAAGTACGAATGAAAAAAATCCATTAACTCCTAATAATTCACATCCAGTGAATCAATCAAAATGGCTTCAAAATCATATAGATAAATCTGACGTTCAAACTAATACAACATCAAGTCGTGTGAATACATTACGTTCAATATTTGAACAGTCCAATGCGTCGTCATCAGGTTCATCAACATCAGCAAGTCCGATGAATCAACGACGTCGAATAGAATCAGAAGAAAGTTTAGCTAAGTATGGTGATGAAATTCGTTTTCGTACAAAAGATTTGAAAACATCAATGATTCATCGTGCAGAACCAGCTCGAATTATTCCATGTGAAACTGGTTCATCTGTTCGTAATACAAAAGACGATCAATCGACATCACCATTTACACTTGATCAAATACAAGAGATTACTGGTAAACAATTGAAAGGTCTTAACGATGCTGGGCAGTATTTACAGGTAAAATTTTGTTTCTGAAAGAACTGTAACATTGAACTTTACACCAATACGAATTCATTATATTATGATGTTTGTTAGAAAATACGTCGTTTCTACTTTTAATTTTCCACTAATTGACGCATGAAAAAACTTTACGAGTGAATAAATAATTGATTCCAGTCAATGTGTTCTTCACTTCCTTTAAAGAGAAAAAAATTCAACCAGAAGATCGATTTTGTATAAGGGAAAGTTTCATAATGTAATTATAATCAAATATTTTACTGTCATAACCTTGGAATAGTTTTCTCGCTTGTAATTGATCGCGTTAATGAAAAAAAAAAGGTATACTCAGCAACGATCAAGAGTCAAGTTTCGATGATTGAAAGTATTCTGACAAAAATAAATAATGATAGTTAAGCTTTACAAGGACGATCGCACGTATGTAGCTAGAAAGTATTTACTTGTTATTGTAATCTGCAAACGTCAGTCTAGAAAATAATATTTTATGAGAGAAGCGCTGAAAGTGAATCAAACCTTTTGATATTGCTATTCTTGTTTTAATTAGAACACAACGAACAATATAAATCTATCGGGCTGCGTTGATTTTGCAACTGGTATATAAATAGAAATAAAATATTTTCTATAATTCTAGGATGGACATACATGGCAATGGAATGAAATCTTTTGGTTAAGTTTAACAAATTCTCAACGAGATCAATTAAAAACTCTTGAATATGAATTACATAAAAATAAACACGACACAAGACTATCTTCGTCACTTGATGACACAAAACCATATAAATCCACCATAAATGTAACCGGAGCTGGAGCATGGCAACAACAAAATTCATCGACTGGCTTCACCAAATATTCTAGATTACATACAATCAATGAAACACATCCAGCTGTTAGTGTTCTTGATGCAAGTCCTTCAAAACTGAACTCACAAGATTCCATTAATCAGAAGACAGATCTTCAAAGAGAAACTATTGAAAAATCATCTTCAGCGTCTGTTCACCAAGCTCAAATTGATCCACTAAGCTATGAACAATTCATCTATGATTATCTAACAACACATGGAAAGCATCTACGTTCTAATAATAATTCGCTAATTCTTTCTATTGATGATCAACAAATTTATTTACCTTCGTCATACGATCCATCGAATTTAACAAAACATCTTTATATCGATCAAGATTTAATACCATTCGAAACTGTGACCAATCAATTAGTTATATTTGTATACGGAGAACCCATTCTACTACCAGTCGATCGATGGTCATTCTATCGAAAAAAATATCAAAATGCACAATGGATACGTACACTTAAACGTATCAACCAAAACATACCATCACAATTAATCTCAACCATTGAACAATGGCTTGCTGCTCATACAACATTAACTTTGGATACGCATACGATAGATGTAGATGGATTAACTATTCCACTGAAAGGTGCATTAGGTTTACAATTACATGAAACTCAACAATTGGAAATCAATTATTGGAATGAATTATTTAACTATCTCATTCGTATGGGCTATGTTTCCTATGATATGAATGAAAAAATTGTTTCTATAGCTAATAGTGAACTTGATGTTCGGCGGGTTTTGATAGCTCGGTCATTGGAACTGATTGAACGCGTAGCACGATATCTTCGAACATTAAATAATATTCACGTTGAAAATGATGATTTGTTCTTAACGGAAAATTTCGTTTTACCCAAGGAATATATTCTTCCTTTATTGATGAAATACGATCAAGAAAAAAATTTTAGTGCTAATGAATTAGCCGCTCTTCTACTAGAAATATCTTATATTGTTGAAGATGAAACAAATCAAAACATTATTTTAACATTTAATAATCAAACATTAGAAGTAATTCATTATGAAAATCATATGGATACATTAATACAATGGCTTAATGGATTAAATCAACAGAAATCAATTGAAATAACCGAACAAAACGATATTTTTATTCATGCTACAAATGAACAAAATCAACAACAAAAAATATTCATTAAACATGAACACATCGATGCTTATATGAAAACTAAACATAATAATAAAATAGTCGATATTGTCGATATCGATGATATAGCAAATATTTTATGTTCATATAATTATGTTCAATATTCATCGGGTCAATTAATATTTCCTATACAAAATATTATATTAAACACAAATGAATTACGTTGGTTACAATCGATTCTACATTCGATTCAACCTAACGAACAAACCAAACAAAGTGATATAGAATTATTCGATGAACATGACGCACAAATACTTCGAATACCTTTCAAATATATGTCTCCAACAAATGATAGACAAATTGTAGCAAATTATTTATTTCAAAATGGCCTTATTCAATACGATATCAACACCGGACATTACACTTATCGCTACATACCACCCGATGAATCTAGTCCTACGACAGAAGAATATACAAATCAAAATCAACTACTATCTTCACAGATTCGAGAGATTCATGTAGATAAAACGAATCAATCTATTCAACTGGAATTTGTTCATGAGCCAAATCATTATCTTTTATTACCTTCGAATTGGTATAAAAATATTTTAGAACATCAATTTAATCGTTCGCATATCATCGATATGTTGTTAACAAATGGTGGTAGTTTCGATCAAGAAGACAATTTTATTTTTAATGGTCGTTCATATTCGTTAAAACCTTCGAATGAACACACACTAGACGCAGAAATAAAGCAAAAAAAAAATCTTATCGATTATTATGTTGAATATATAGACAATCAAGGTGAAATAAAATATGATAGTGTAAATCGTATTATCATATTAGAGAATCTCGTCGATGGTTCGAAGTTATATTTAACACCCGAACATACAGAATTTCTACAGAAAAATAAATTTCGAGGAGACGATATGAAATATTTACTAATGAAACATAGTCAAGTAAAACAAGATGAATTTCAAAATTGGTTACTCTATTACAATAATCAATCTGTTCGGATTCCATCGTTGAACGTTGAAAATAAAAATCAAGCCGAATTATATGATCATTATCATCGAATTATTGATTATATGTATAATCATAATTTAATAATTTATGATAAACGTTTGAAATTAATTCAAATACATTTTTCTAATCAAACATTAACAATACCATTGAATCAATTACAATCGATAGTCAATCTAAAATCTGATCAAATCCTACCCTTTACCAGTTATCAATTCTCACAATGGCTATTGAAAAATTCTGATCAGATTAATTATTTAAATAACGAACACATACAAATTATGTATAAAGATAAGTTCTATCGTTTGCCATTGGATGTTTCCGAATATCAATCTTTTGCACATGAAGAAGAATCGATCGATTCAAAATTAAAATTAATTTTTCCATTTAATACATCTTTACGACTTATACAAAAAACACCATCGACAACAACATTAGATATCGAAGCACCGTCGATGGAAAACAATTATTCTGTTGATCCATTATTAATGCTTGCTAATTATATACATCGTGCCGGAACAGTATATCAAGATGATTTAGGTCGTTTAATTATAAAAATGAATCACAATGAAATTGTTGTACCACGCATTGAAGCTATAAATGCTATTGAAGCTATAAATGCATCACCACAACGTACTGGAACTATCATTACACGTTTAATTGCTCGTATTGGAAAAGTCGAATCGAATAAAATGGGAGGATTATTGATTACCGTTGGTAAAAGCGCATTTGAATTACCAAAAGAAGCTATTGATCGTTCAAATAAAATACCCATTGAAAATGATTCGAAATTTAAAAATCCACCTTTAACAACACGTCGTCAGCAAACAACTAGATCCCCTATTTTGCCATTATTACAACATTCTAAATCAGCCAGTAACTTATCATCGGCGAGTACGGAAGAACAATCATGGTTTAATGATGATCAGCAAATTCGCTATTCGAAAGATGGTCGTGGTGATGCAAGATATTTAAATTTAAATCAGCTGAATAACTTCGAACAAAAGGATACACGCAATCAATCCAGTTCAGATTTAAAACCATGCTTACTGATTATACCCGATGATGAGAAAGCACTAGCTTCAAATCGTACAGTACGTTTCTATATTCAATATATTAATGAACGTGATTCGACATCGAATAGTAATTTAAATTCATTGATGAAGTCGTCAAGTGAATATTCAGGCCAAGTAACATCAGCACAACTCATTTTTCCGCAAAATTATCAAAATATTGCACTTCGACAAGCACCTGTTTATGTTTATAAACAAGGTGACAATAAAATTTATTATGAAAATCTTGCTAAATATTTATCTATCGAACAAACTTATCTATCGCCACGTATTGTTCGTCGTATGTTAAAATTTACATCTGCCAATGAATTTTTCGCTTATTTAAATAAGAAAATGTCAGCAAACTATGCTGAACAACTTGTTCAACAAAGCGAAGAGCAAAATAATCAACTAAGATCAAGATCACAAGATAACTTGAATAAAATGCAAAATATAGCAACAAAATTTTCATCGAATAACTATGAACAACGTCAAGATTATGCTTATAATTTTTCATCAAAATCTACCAATCGAATTTCGTCATCATCCAGCCAAAATTAAAATAGGCTGATAACAAACGCAGAGCTATTACATTGAGATATATTCTATATAAACTATAATCAACTTGCTATTTAAAAGCTAATTATTTTGTATCAATTTTTTTTGAATCTATACTAAACCTGTCTTTGCTTTATCCATTGATCTATAGATCCGATCATCACAGAAAGATAGATAGATAGAGAGAGAGAGAGAGAGAGAGATAAAGGCGCATTTGTTCTATCGAAATATTGTTGATAAATATAAATAATTTCAGGTCGATCACCACAATCAACGAATGGTACAGGTGATCAAAGTTTAATAGCGTCAGACAAAACTGTCACATTGCCGCGAAGTGTAACTTTATCCGGACAGAGTATGTAACAACGATAATAAACATGCATGAATCGATGAGTGTTTTACCGGTCTTGTGTAATTAATGTCTAGAGCTGTACATAAGACCGGTGGACGTTGCATCATCCGTATGTGTCTGTGTCTAGCATGAATATGCATGTGCATGTGTTTTAGGTAATGATGGAGAAAGTGAAAGTCGTGTAACTGTTTCGCGTAGTGCTAGTGCTGTCGCAAGTACGAGTGAATATTTTTCTTCCGGAGAATATTTATAAATGATCTATGTATTTTTTCTTTGTCTTTCAGAAGTGGTTACAAGTAAATCTGATACAATAAAATCAACTACATCATCGTCAACACCCTCAAGTCGAGAGGTACGTTCTTTTATTTTAGTTTTATTGTTAGCTTATCCATGTAAAAGCATAGTATGATATGCGAAGAAAATTCGAGAAAACATTGTTTTTTTAAAATCTTAATATTCTTATCTACAGAATCCAACTGTATTATCATCAGCAACAGTGACTCGATCGAAAAGTTTGGTCAGTATATCATAGAGTTGCTTGTATTCTTGCTTTAGAGGGGTTAGATATATTTCTTTATAGATTCACATTGGCTATTTTTAGCACGATTCTTATTATAAATAAATAAAAAGAGAATCGCTTCTTTAGTTTTATTTTGTTAAGCATTGAAGTTTTTATTCCGTTGTATATATTTAGGTCTCACCAAATCGTACAAATGGTACCAAAGGTGCAGAAGAAGAAGTAAAAAAGGAGAAAAAATCTAAATTTCGAACACCATCATTTCTCCGAAAACGTAAAGAAAAGAAAGAAGCTGCTAACAAAGATAAAAGTGAAAAATGAACAATTCAATTCTTCTCATTCTTATCTAGTGTTGTCGTGTTGTTCTTTTTGTAGCAAGTTCTTTTCTCGAAATGCTCATTCGTATATAATACCCGCACCTTGTTTTCTTTTTCTTCTTCATTTGCGTGTAACTCAGCTCTCGTTGTGGTGTGCTTGTTTATTCCTATCGCATCTATTGATCTTCAATGAAAAAAGAATAATAATTAAAGAAAAAATTACAAAAGAAGATCTAATTCAAAGAAAAGAAAATAACATTATTTTTTTTTCTTTATTATAACTATTATTTTTTGTTTGTTAGTTTCTTCTGTTTCCATCGAAGAGACTTTGATTTCTTTGTTTGTTTCTTGTTTTTTTTTATATTCATAATTCTTTTCTTTTGTTCCTTGTTTGCGTGTGAGTTGGACTCATTCTGTTCTTTTTTCCTCTTAATGATAGCACGCGTGAGTTTATACGTACACACGAAAAAAATCCTTTTTTTTTCATAATAAACATATGTACACACTACGTAGAATACTATGCGGCTTGTCCACGTAACGCGCTACTTCGCTGATCAAATTAAAAAAAAACTTTTTCCGATATGGACAGATCTAAGCGTGTTTTCTGGTGCAGTTTTTTACGCCGATTATGAATTTGGACTTTTTTTCTTAAAAAAATTGAGTTTTGGCATCGAAAACCGCGTTTTAACGTTTTCAAAAATCGTATTTTCAATTTTCTAACCAAGAAATTTAAAACGAAATGCAGACTAATATACCATTCGATGCAGAATTTGATTCTCTACCAAATGGCCTGTTTATTTTTTACTCTCATTCCTCAGGACAATTTCTAAGCTCTTGTACAGTTCCTAACTTACTGTACAATTATTGAGCTCCTATTTCAATGTAGGAACTTGATTTTTCTACAGAAGGATATATGTACGGCAGTGATCAATATGTGTAAACATTAAATATTTTTAAGCATTTTAAGTGCTTCAAATTTGGTCGACAACAAAACGTGCACAGCGTTACGTTTGTTTTTTGCATTTTTTATCTGAGCGAAAACAGTTCTACAAAAACTGGTACCATAAGCATTTAATTTGAAGAAATAGTTTATCAAAAAATTACAGTTTTATAAGCAGCCCTAGAGAAAAAGGGTCCTTCTTGTCACAGTGTCACACGATGATAAAACCTTTCTAGAAACGTGACAGTTCAGTCAAACTAGACCATTTTTGCAACATCAATAGATTGTAATGAGCGGCGTTGAATGATGTTTGAACGACCTTGTTAGCTCCTATGCCTTTCGAGATAATTGCAAAACAATTTGCCAACATGTCACAGCGTTACGTTTGAACAAGCCGTATGAGCAAATACAACAATCAATGAATAATGCTATTAATAAATAACAAGTCTTTGTAAAGAGATACCGAATTTATGAAATATTAAACTGATACTGTTTGGCTGACAAAAGATCGAGAAATAATTAGATAAAGATTCTTTTTTTCAAATTTATTAGTCAATCAGCTTTGTCAACAACTTCACCGTATTTCTACGATATGCACATATTAATATGTAGCAGTTGGAATAATGGAAAGAAATTAATAACGAAATATGTATTCAATGATGTTTTAAAACAAAACTTACTTTTTCTTTGACTATTCAAGCACAATCGATGGTCATTCTACGATGTGGTTAAAAGGTAATCAACGAATAGTTTTTTTTCTTGCATAGTTCGGCTTTGAAGTCTATTAATTCGAGCAAACCAAATAAGCGTGTCATATGCGGACGTTTTTTTCTCGTCCTACTCTACCTACATACGTACATCTAAGCAAAAAAAATGCAACAGTATTAACTGTGGGTAGAAATAGACTTGAAAACCAAAAGCAAAGAATAATGAAAGCTGCTAGAAAAGTTTCTTAATTTTTTTTAAATGCTTTTTTTTCTTTACTATGGACGATGCTAGTATATACATTTGATTTCTTTTCGTTCGTTTAGCATTGTTTTCTCGGCAGTAGCAATCCAGAAACAAAAAATACAAACGACATTAGGAGTGCTTGAAGCCTAGAGCAACAAGTTAGAAAATGAATTGCCAACGAAAAGAAGCAATAGACAGTACTATATAAGAAGAGAACCGAACTCTGTTTCTATTTGTTTCGGTCATTTTCAATAAATTTGTGCCGTTTTATTCTTTCACTAGAAATTCTATCATCATCGCTATAGACAAATATAAGTCAACACCAACGGCTAGTCATTCTTTTTCATCTGTATTTTCACCTGCCACTAAGAATCTATTAAAAACCTTGTAATCTACACCAACATTGAAAACGACTATACTTTTACTGGCAAGGGGGGAAAGGCGAATTTGGGATTTTTAAGGATTTTCAAAATCCAAAACATAAATGATGGAATTTCCATCTGAATTTTTTCAATATGTAGGCCTCACGACCCTTAGAATATTCTAAAATTTTCAGCGCAAACGGATGTTTCTCTCTCAAGATAATGAATGCACAAGAAATGCTCATTTCACGGCACAGTCAGAAAATCCCGTTTTTTTGAAAATTCAATATTTTAAGAAGGAAAACATTTGTTCGAGTTGAAACTTTTAGGATCTTCTATGCACCATGAAACCTATATATGGGAAGAATTTCAGGTCAAAACTACGTCATGCACAGGGGATGAAGCGTAAATTTTTAAATTGCAGTAAGGAAACAAGTTTACCTTTTTTTCAGTGGTGTGCGGCTACAGAATTGTTACGTGCATCTGAAAAGAGGAATATGTTGGGCGAAACTCATTCACATAAACTCGCATGAAGCTGCCACGAAAATCCACTATACCTAGCTCGCAGAATGGTGTGTGGGTGTTCTAAATTGAAATGTCAAAACCTACGCCATCAGGATGGTCGTGTCATGTAACGGGCAGTCAGCAAAATATTATGAAATAACTCTAACTACCACGACACAATTTAATACTAAATTGTTTATTGAAGCCGTTTTCAAACTATTTGATGTTTTTATCCGCTTGATTTTCTTTCTTTCGACATCTTCCGTTCCAACTTTTGCTATACCATTTGAAATTCAAATAAAATCCGTTCGACCGGCTATCGGATCCGATTGTCCATATGATTCTCCTGGAAAAATCGTATAGGAACCGAGTAAACTGTAAAAAGTAGCCCATAACAGTGAACTTCACCAAATGACTGGATCCGTAAAGTGAATTATGGTCTTGTAACCCCGAGTCGTACACAAAGACACAGATTAATAATGAGGGCGACATGCATTACGGATTTTTCGTTAGTATAGATGTTTGTATACAGAAATAAACTATTTTGCTTTATAATGCAGAGAAAGGTTCTTTTCACACAACGTGTGCACTATGACTCCGGCACTACAGGATATCGGTTAAAGAAATTCTAAGAAAGAAAATAAGTTTCCGTATTCAATGAACTACTGAGAGAAATTCTAGATGAATCCTATGTTCTAGATATTTTTCCACATAAGATAAACCCTGTGAAAGCTCTATCAATTGGAATTTAGCTATTATAATGATGGATTGCAAGCACATTTCATGCAGCAAAGACAAATGATGTATACAAGAGTTTTGATTTTAGAAGACAAATATTAGAGTTCTCAACCCTGATTCTCGGGATCAATTTGAATAAACGAATATATTTTGCAGACAAAAAATTCGATACAAATAAATGAATACAATTCGACCTATAACTATAACTCTCTAGGAATCCAGCATTAATTTTGATTTTTCCAAAAACTCAAGTAAAATTTCATGTGATTGATTAAATTATAATTGTTTGCCAATAGAGATATTATATTTTCTTTCTCAGCAACGGTAATTGCTCCAGACGAAATGTGAAACGCAGGATACTTTTTTGCGCCTCTATTTATATCAATTATTCTCCTGTAAAGGTTTATAAAGTACTTCAGCTTTTGAAGATTTCAATTATGAGTCAAATTTCGTCTAACTCCTTCATATTTAATATTTATTAATTAGATTAATGCTACACAAACTAACATTAAATAAGCACAACAAACATTATGTTTTTATTTAGCTGCACGGTGTTTGACATGGTTGTTTATACTTGGAAACTGTCATAACAATTCGAAGGAGCTGCTGATAATTTGTTTCATCTTCAATATTCGATTGAGGATATCGTTGTGTATAAACAAGACTGCCACATCTAAATATAAAACTATTTATTCAATCACTTCAAAACTAAAATCAAACAAATCTAACCGGCCAAATATCAAATTATTTAACCGCTGTCCATGTTGACCTAATTTGTCTACGAATCGATCTTTAGCATTGTCTTGAAAAAGTCGAATTTTACCATAAAAATTACCAGGTAAAAATTCTGCAGCATGTTCTTCATTAACAATAACAAGACGGACATCAATATCGTGTATTTTATGATATGCAAGATCACGATATAAATCATTATATCTATTTCATAGAAAATGAATTCAATAAATTTCGAATGTATATATATATATACGTATTTAGACTCATACTTGACAGCTTGATTTCGGCAAGCTTGGCAACCAAGATGACTTATACCTACGACCAGTACTTGTTTACGATTATATGTTATTAAATTTGTTCCATTTATCTTTAAATTATTTGAACATAATTTTTGATTACTAGGATATGCACCTATTGAAATAATGAATAACATAAACAAGCCAAGAGTCTTCTGCCCAAACATGTTTCCCAACATCAAATGATCTGTATAGCTATTGTAGTTATATCAATCAACTTCTATCGTGATGACAGCTGACATTTTTCTTCATTAGAAACAAAAGGCATTGTATACATAATATTTTTAGTGTATTGTCTTGACATAGATAGCACATGCTAGCTACAACATTAACCTTTTGATATTGTTCTAGAAGAAAAAGAGAGAGAGAGAGAGAGAAAATGAGGACGCTGGTCAATGCTCTTTTGATTGCTTTACGTCTAATAGAATATGGAAGAGTGAGAAAAAAATGAAAGCAACGCTTATAATTCATGATATAGACGATGCCATCGGCCAGCCATCGAGAAGTAGGGCGTCAATTGAATTTCCTTTCGCTCTTGTGCTCTTCTCAGTCTATTTGTCACACATCATAATTCTGTCATTTTTCTTCTTGTATGACGGCGAGGCCATATGGAGATCTTTCACACACGCACATATTAAAAAATACAATCAAAATCATCATCATCATCATCCTTCTTGCCATTGTCAACAATGTCCATATATATATAACTTAATGTAGCCTACCCTCAAGCGAGTTTCATGTGTGAGTGGTAAAAAAAAGAAAGAGGAGAGAAAAAGAATATTTATAGTACATAGTCATTCTCTAGCTGCCATCATCCTATTATTACTTTTTTGGTTGTGACTATTCAAAGATGTTTTAAAAACATGAAATTTATTCGATTGTCTGGCGCGATGAAATTGAGCAGTGGGGCTGTTTTCGTCTCCCAATTCAAATAACAATCATTTTATTGATGGATTCTCATTAAAACATCTTCGAAAACTAAAGTCAAAGTTTATTTTTTCTCGGCGATTGATTTTAATTTGTTTGAAAGAATAGATTTGACTATAACCTCGAGTCATTAATACCAAACGGGAAATACCCCTGGAATGTTCTTTTTCTTTTCCTCATTCATTAATTGCTTAATTGGTCTGTGGCCTTATCATCATTGTCAGTTGAACTAGAAGCAAGATAGAACTTGTCACGCACACTAATCACATTCAAGTTTCTCTATCCTTTTCTATCTAGTTCTTTTTTTTTATGTTGCATCGAATAAAACAGTGTGCATTTAATCGAGCCAATTATACACATGCGCACACACACCGTATTTATCTTTATCTTGTTCTTATAAATTAAGCTTTTCAAGACATAAAACTGATTATCGTAAAATCCTTGAAAGACTCTTTTTTTCTTCTTATTGTGTAATATTAACTCTTATGCATATGCACAATAATGTGTTGTTCTAATTGTTCTATACATTTGATTTAATGTCTTACGTGCCTAAATATATATACTTCCGCTTAATCCATTTTTCTTTTCTGCGGATACAATGAGTAATAATTATCGTGAAAATATTGCATCCGTTTGATTGTCTGTCGATTAACTCTCTGTTGTCCAATGGAATGTAACACCAAGGTTAATACATAGTGTCACAAACGAGGCATTTGTTATCTTCTAACTCTCATAGACAAATATTGAGTTTCTCATGAGAATAGTTCATCGATTAATAGGAGTGAACCAAGGCTAACTAACTCGGAGAGAATAAACATAAATGTTGATCTACAGCACGCCTTACTCTTCTGTCTCTCTAGCTCGTTCCAGCTTCCTTCATTTAGCCTCTTTTGTATGTATTGTGCCAGGAAGCAATGATGATTAATCACTTTGATAGCATGCGGTATTTGTCCCTTACGTAACGATTTTACTCTCGTTCTTTTCTTATCCTTTTTTTCTTCTTCTCGATCTTCTCTCTTTTTTTTGTGTATGAGAATATAAAAAAAAAATCTTCCCATTTTTTTACGAGCATCCGCTTTCTTTTTCTTATCGTTCAAAGCTTGTCGACAATGACATGAGCCAGAGTAAGTGAACATTTCAGTACCACAGACACACACACACACACATTTATTGAGCTTTTCTCTTCTCAATTTACACAGACGCGCGGCTGTCTTACACATTAAAAGTAAGTCTATACCATATTCGATACGATTAAAATTGATCACTTAGGTACACATATGTCAAAATACTAGTACGAATAAGTTTCTGTTTATAAAAGGATATTTTTATTTTTTGAATTATGAGCAAAAAACAATCGTTTGTTATTGTTTGATGTCCGAACGGAAATTGCTTTTTATTTGACATACATACATATGATAATAACATATGTGCTCTATTCTCCCTCTATATCGCTAACAAAATTCAATCGTTTATTATTTCTTTTTCTTTCTCATATACAAAATTTAATTGTTTGCATTTATATGTGAATCAGAACAGCTGTACAAAAAAATAAACTAAAAGAAAGATATAGTTTATGGTAACGATGATTACTATTTCTTTTTATGATAACCTTCGATTTAGATCTGATATCATTAAGTGTAAACAACTCGTATGTGCATATAATTGTATAGAACTTGAACACGATTATCATATTGATCATTATGTGACATACATACAGTAGTTATTCATTATGATTATTTACATAAATACGGATAAGAAACTTCTATAATGACATCATCGTAGTTAGATTTCGATATTTTTTTTTCTGTTTCATTGCACTGCGATTAGAGTTCTTCAATGTTGCACGACAAATATACATCGATCGAAGTAGTTATAGTTGCGTTGAATACGTAATAAGCACATTGCATATTTATATGCTGCTGATAAGTGAAATTATATAGACAATCTTTCACACTCGTAAAAGTTGTTCGTTTAACCTTCAATTCGAATAGACGATGATATTTCAGAACGGTACAGATCGAATATTTATGATCGTAGAGAGAAGACGAAAAAAATCAGAACAAATAATTCAATCGATTAAATTTCAAAAATTTAATCTACATATAGAATGAGATTATCATCGATTGTCATTTTCTTTCTTTCTTTTATTCTCAATCCTATTTAAAATCGTAATGATCAGTTTGTGATTAAGTTAAAATAGCAATAGTGGCTTAGCACATTTTTTCTCTCTGTTTGTAATCCATCCTTTTTCATAGTGTCTCAACTCGTTCATTGTCTAATTATTTCTTGGTCACATATGCACAGTTGCAAATCGTTTACTACTGCTGTTGCCGCCGCCGCCGCCGCCGACGACGACGACCCATAAATCATATCATCAATCGATAGTAGTGACTGGTCAACCAGCGACTGCTCTTCATTTCTCTTTTCTTCATTGCAGGTAACATACGTACGTACATAAACTGAACTAATGGTTTGTTTGTTAGTATGGTACTTATACGTTCACCTTCTTCTGTCTAATTATTTCTTCTTTTCGACAGATTGAATTATAAACAACAGTAACAAAAACAACGACAACATATGTTTGTAACATCCATGGCCAAGTTTGTATAACCTCATTAACAAGACCATTTTCATTACAACATTAGGCAGTTTCTTCTTCTTCTTCTTCTTCTTACTTTTGCTTGAAGCTCATTCTGTCTATGTGTAGACCCGTCATTTATGTACTTTCTATTATTATTGATGTATTTGAAAGTTCCGATTAATGAACAATCAATGTCGGTATGATTCTTCTTTCCTATTCACGTCAACGTACGTGCGTGTGTATGTGTGCGTGCCTCCCGACGCAACTAATTAGGTCGCGCGTCGACAAGTGATTGAAAGTATGTAGAATTATTTCGACAGAGAATAAGAACTCTTCCGCACTAATGCCTGACGTAGCAAGGTACCGACTTTTTTCTGTACATTTACAACGCTAGAAGAAAAAGAAATCGTTAAATTGTTCATTACACTATGATGTAGTGTTTGACGAGTGTCATTTACACATAGCACGTCGTGATTATGTACGTGTCGAAGTAGTAAATGTTAATTGCAAGTGAGATGGACAAGGGATGACGCCGGATAGATGTCCGTGACTGTAGTTCATGGAGCTTATTGTCAGTGGTCTCTATCTCTCTCTTGTCTCATATGATTGTGCAATTTTTTTTCTGTTTTTTCTTTGTTGACAAACGCGTCGAGTTCGATGAGACGAGTGCGCGAGACAAACATCATCAGTGCGTCGTTCATTCACATTAGTCTTTTCAACATTGTTGTCTGCAACAGAATGAATAATAGGCATCAGCAACCAGATGTTGGTCAGCATTCCATCTGTCTTCATTGTCGGGCAATATATATCGTAGCGGCATCAGTCGCTGTATATATTAACAATTAATAATAGTTTTTCTTCTTTTCACTCATTCAATGGGCATTGTCCATTCATCTTAAAACTTCTTATGTCATAATCAATATTACAATATTGTGAGTATGAGAAACAAATTCATTGTTAGCATGTGAAACATTCACTTCTTGTATTAATTATATTCATAAAATGAAACCACTGTTTGTTTTTATATAATATTGATTGATTTTTCTAGATGAATATTTAGTATTATTGCCTGACATTAGATTGATAATGATTCAATATCTCGTTCTAATTTTTTTCTTTCGTAAGTATGAAAAAAAATATTGACTGATTTTTCATCGAGAAGACAAAAAACTAATTATTTCTGTGTGTTAGATTTATGTCAAAGTACAACTAATGCTCCAGTACTTATTGAACAGCCACAAGATATGATCGCAGAATTAAATAAACCGATGGCTATACATTGCCGAACCGAGTCATCATCATTAGATGATCTTCATATTGATTGGTATAAAGATGGTCGATTAGTAACAACTGATCCTAATGCGCGTATTATTACAGAATTCATGGCATTACATATTATTAATACAATGCCACAAGATGCAGGCATTTATTATTGCATAGCGAAAAATTCTCATGGACAAACTCAAAGTCGAAAAGCACGAATACAATTTTTGAGTGCGTAAAATTTTATCGAAAACAGGTTTTATAGAGAAAATATTTTGTTTAGAACTTGATAAAGAATTTCTTATTTCGCCAACATCAGCAAGTGTTTCAATTGGCGAAATGGTTCGTTTACGTTGTCAACCACCGCATGGTTCACCAATCCCAACAGTTTATTGGACAAAGGACGGACAGAATCTTTCGGTTTCACTTGATCATTACGATCTTGTTCTACCATTAATTCAACAGTCAGATTTTGGTTCTTATCGTTGTCTAGCATTCAATGGTCTTCTACGTCAATCGTCGACAGCTCATTTAACTGAATTTCATCGACCAAAAATTACTATTCAACCCTCATCATTAACATCACGTATGGATTTACGTCGTGGACAATCGATTGATTTGCAATGTCATATTGATAATGATCAATACAAAGTTGAATGGCATTTTGGAAATAAAATTATTCGAAATAATCATATTCATATGCCATCGATTGAATTTAATCAAAGTGGAATTTATAAATGTGTGGGTCGGTTTGAAAAATATAAATTTCATGAAGAAATTCTACTTGCTGTTTACGATAGTAAAATTTCAAATAATGAAGAAATAATTTTTAGTCAATCAACTCAAACAGTGTTTCTTGGACGTTCAGCTATGATTGATTGTTCGCTTCCGTTAAATATAGGAAATAAACTCATGTGGTCATTGGTTAATCGTTCTGAAATCGATAATGTTAAATTTGATTATGATGCTACTAATCAATATCGTTTAAAATTTGATCGTATTAAAGAATTTCATCATAATCTTATATTTGAATGTTATTATGAAAAGAAAGATATTAAAAATCAAGGTTTAATTAAATTAAATGTTGAACGAATTGAACCACCACCAATTGTTTCCTATGTGCCAAACAATCAAACAGTACCGATTGGTGTTGAAGCAACATTTTCATGTCAATCAGAAGATGATATTAATATTCAATGGTGGTTTACACCTTATTATCGACCTTATAAAACAATTAAAATTAATAATAATCAAAAATATCGTATTGAAAAAAATCATAATTTAATTATTCGAAGTGCAGAAAAGTGAGTAACGATCTTTTCCATTGATGTCGAGAAATATATGAGATACTATCATTCATATTACGTAATGTCATAAGCTCGAAATTTATGATTCCTTTACTAGTAAGATAAGAAAAGAAAAGGAGTTAGTCTGGCACCTATGAAATGATCATGATCGCGCAAAGAACGAGAGATTTCTATTATGGACAAGATTAAAGAATAAAAAATAGGCTGTTCATTATGGACTTTTTATCGCGGTGTTGCAGAAATAAAGTTCAAACTAATAAAAAACTCTGTTCTTTGAAAGATTCTACTGTTAGTAAAAGTGACTTTTACTTTGAAAAGTTCACTCTAAGATACGTATTGTATCTTCAATTGTAATCTTATGTTCTATCGCTATCTATTCCAATTAAGTATGTTGAATAATAATGACATATGACAAAAGACTTCGCTCATTTCCCTTTCCTGTTCTCATTATTATTCATGAATGGTTATGTTCTATCATTGATTGATGTACTCCAATGATATTTTAGAAGCGATGCTGGTATATACAAATGTATATCAATTAATAACAACAATGATGAAACAACATGGATAGGTCATTTACATGTTGACGATGCTCGTTCAAATGTAAAATTTCATCGTGTTGAACGTAAAGATCTTCCGCCAGCTCCGTCACAACCAATAGCCATAGCAATAAATAGTCGTTCAATAGAATTAGTTTGGAATATTCAATCTGTTGACCTGATTGATTATCTTATAGAATATTATGATCTTGACGCTGATCAAAAAAATAATCTTGAATGGAAACGTTTAATAGTAAAGAATAAAAATTCTCGGCAAATTATAAATGATTTGAAATCAGATTCAATCTATCAATTTATGATTCGTGCAAGAAACTCATTTGGTTATGGTCCACCATCGATACTATCGGAATTAATTGAAACAAAAAATAATCAACAATCAATGGACGAACTTATTTATCTTTATGATCCAATAGCTATTCAAGAAACAAGTTTAACAATTAAATGGAATATTTTACAAAAAAATTCTTTAATTAACAAAATTTCTATTTATATAATTAATAAAAAGGAAAGTCATGAACGTATTGAAACAGTAACAAACTCGTTAACAACATATACCATTAATAATCTTCGTCCGGACACAGATTATGCAATTCATTTAGTACCCATGCTAGATAGCATAGGTCGTGCAAGTAATCAAATATCTATTCGAACATTAGAAAGTACTCCATCGTCATCACCAACGAATGTTCTCGTTCAACTAATATCTACAACTGTACTTTCAATTCGCTGGAGTTCACCTCTAGAAAATGAAACCAATGGACAAATCATTGCCTATAAAGTGAATTGTCTAGGTTCCAATGAAACAACTTCAATACGTTTAACAAATATTAGTTCAGATGCAAAAGGATTACATATTAGAAGCCTTATTGAAAATATGGAATATTGCATCAGCATTGCAGCACGTACACGGATGGGTTATGGTCCTTATTCACGACCGATGTGTGTCATAATGAGTAAGTAGAGAACAGCAAAGTTATTAGAAAAATAATTGACATCCTGATATTTTTAGACGAGAAATTTTTACAAATAAATCAAAATCAATTGAAATATCGTCTACGTGAAGTTATATCCCAGCCATGGTTAGTTATTCTTCTTTAATTTAATCTTTATATCATTTAAAAATAAATGATTAGGTTTCTATCAATCATTATTCTATCAAGTATTCTTGTTACGTGTGCTTTCGCTTATTTTATTTGGTTATGTTTTCATAATATAAATGGGCAACATCGATCTCGTATTAAGTTTCATAGTTCAGCTTCATCATTAAACCAATCAGTTGAATTACCTATTCAGAAAACATTGAGTAATGGAAAACGCTATGACTTAATTAAAGATATTTCGACAACATTACCATCGTCATCGACAGCGTTATGGATGAATTCCATACCCAATGGTATGCGTCTTCAATGTTGTACAACAGCGACGACAACATCAGCAAGCAGCAACAGTGAACATCATTCAATGAATATACAGAAAAATCCAATTAATGCGCTTTTACATGAATGTCGACAACAGCAACCACAATCGCAACAACTGAACCCCTATGCGACAACAGGTATATTTCAACAATCAACATCGTCGGCTTTACCATCTTATGTAAGTCAAATATTTTGTCATAAATATCGCGGCCATTAGAATATCAAATTGAATGATTCCCGGTGAGATTCTACATGCGCTAGATAAATAAAAGAAGTTTATCAGTACAAACACTTTGGATCTGAAAATGTGCGATGCACATGTGTTTGGTAATCTCATTATGATAATACTGAATGCATTAAGTGAACAATCTCCAACAGATTCTCGTTGTTTTTTTCTACGTATAATCAATCATCTGGGCAGTGATCTCTATTTTTCTTTCTATGCTCTTTGGTACATCAGTATTTTGACTTTGATTTCCGTATTTCATCGTTCTTAAGTTGATACTATTCTGACATAGCTACTTGTTTTTTATCCTTTAAATAGTCAGAAACAGTTCATTCACCACCATCATCGCATCATCTATTATCTGATCAACCACAGATAACATCAACTTCTTCACCTACAGTACAATATCAGCCGCCATGGCTTGATCATCATCCATCGTCAACATTGCAATATAATTCACAAAGTCGTACATCATACAATCAATACCATTGTAAGCATTGCACATCGCAATCGAATCCTCATACACCATCCGCCACACGTCCAATCGTACAACCATCTTTATCTCATCTTCAAAATAATAATAATAATCCAACGACAAAGACTCCAACTGTAAATACAAGTGAAACCAATAAGACTACAATGGATAGTATGCAACAAATCATAATGAACAGTTCATCTTCGTAAGTTATCTTTCACTATTATTACTATACTGCTTGTTTTAAAAAATGTATCTGCCATGCAGCAATCTAAAAACTCAATTTATACCATCATATATAATTTATAGAGTAAAACATCAATCGGATCATATTTCCCAAGTTCAATCTGCAAATCCAATAATGACGAATTCGTTAGATGCAGGTTATTATTCAATATTTAAACTCCTAATATAAGATAATTGATTGTTATTTTTTGTTTCGAATAACAGAAACCATGACAACATCATGGATAAGTTCAATCGACGATAATAATCATGAAAGTGCTTCTTCGTCATCGACTGATAAATATGAATTTGGGAAATCAAACCAAAAACAGAATCATTCGAGTAGTGAAGGTTCAATATTTTCTGATTCGGATGTTCAACAATCAGACGATATTAATGGATCAGCATCGGTTAATTTCGAACGAGCACCAACTTTTCTCATACCAAATTTGTAATCGGACACTTTTCTTCTTCTTCTTCTTCTTCTATTTCCTAAATCTAGTCATTACATGTATGATTAATCTTCAGCAGTAGTTTATTATTTTTTTTTCTAGCTGTCGTTCAGATGATTTTATTTGCTGTTGTACAAAATAAGTGACATTTTCAGGGATTTTTCAACACAGTTATGACAATAAAAACGTGTTGCATTTTGTTTTAAGATTAACGAATGTGAATTTCTAAATAAAATCTTCATGAATGAACACTTCTTTTTCAAAATTACACAATTGCAATGAAACCCATTACATAAATCCAATCTTATAATCAGAGAATATTTCCTAACTAAAAATGTGTTCTATTTTCATAATATTTTGTGAATGACTTTCTCAAAATTTTCCCCTCCATTTGAAGTCAGAAAGAACGCTGTTAGAATCTCATACGATAGAACTCGTCGAACGTTCACAATTTCTGTTCACTACGAGTTACAGGAAAGACAATTGGTTTTTCAAATAAATAAGAGACGATGAAATAGCACGCTTGTCGTTAAGCCAAGAAATTCTCGACTTAATGGCATTTTATATAGTTCTGCTGTTAGAACTGACAGTGTTTGAAATAGGAGAATTATTATTTTCTTGTTTCTTGCCCTTTTGGTGATATTTACTTCGTCGACACGAGACCTTAATGGAAGAGATTATGCTGTCTGTCTAAAATGCATATTTGCTGTTTTTGTTTTGTTTTATCAAATACGACCGAACAAAACATACCATTTGATGTATGATTAATTGCGCAACGAAGTTAACGCAGAGATTGTTAATCATCGGGAAAAAATATTGTCACAAGTTTTTCGACATATTTGCATGAGAAGTAACGACAATTAAATGTGATCGTACTTAGTTTTAGACCAATAATTTAACAGCACTACGCTAACATGATGGTGAACTTTCGTAATATGAATAAACACTGAAACTATACTTTTCTATGGATTATCTTCAAGCATGAAATCGATAGAAAGGAAGTTTTTAAATGTACTTTGACATCAATACGTTGTAAATTATTTTTATTTCAACTGATATAATGAAATTTTGATACAGCTACACACGTAAGTGTGATATTGTAACGCAACGATTGCAGTCACAACTACGTTTAAAATCAAGATTTGGTGCTTCCCCACTCTTTTCCTTGATAGACACTAATTTTATTACTGCCTCGTGCCAATTTATGTCATATTTCTTTTTGGATCATGCAAGTGAAACAACTGGATCATGTTGTTTTAGCAGAAGCTGATATCGATCGGACGAGGGAGTTTTATCAGCGTGCAGTCGGTATGAAATCAGTCGCTAATAACGGACGTTGGTCACTTCATTTCGGAACTCAGAAGCTGAATCTTCGTGCGTATTATGGTTATGAATTCGAACTGAAAGCTACACATCCGACACTGGGATCCGCTGCCCTTTGTCAAAGGTTGATCAATCATTTTCAACGATCAAGCATAGAAACCATCGAAGGACTTATCCAACGCACTGGAGCTCAGGGGCCCATTCTGTCTATTTGTTTCTTTGATCCAGATCTCAATTTGATTAATGTAGCCAATCAATTATCTGAGAACGATTTCAAATAATGCAGATTCTGAATGTTTCATACTCTCATTCTTAAATGTCATCCGAATATAATATTGATGTATCAGCGAATGCATCGATTGTATTCGTGAATATCTTCTCTTTGTTACAATAAATATTCATATGTTAATGTCTCTAGATACGAGTATAATATTCGTATTTCCAAGGGAGTGTAAGCATTTTCTCGTCCGTGATATTTATTTGGGTGATTCTTTTTAGTTTGTTTCAAGTTGTCGCAAGGGTGTGAGTGCGTTAATCGAATTTAAATCATATCGTCACAAATATGTTGCTGTCTATTCTATCAAAACAGCGGCAAGCTGATACTTTCTGAAACGGTATGATATCTTACGATAAGTTGCGTGAAAAGGAATACTAAGAAATAATAAACAAAGTTCCCTGATGTCATTATCATTGTTTTTCAAACTATGATACATTGAATATATGAAGGTATAAATGTAAATATTCTATTCAACGGTATTCAAACATCAGTAATTTCATATCGAAGAAATGTAATTTGTGTTTTCTTGTCAGTTTTACACAGTGTTTCGTCATCACAAGTACAATCAATCGTTCAACAGCCTGATTACTGGCAATATACGTATATTGATACAAGGGGGGAAACCAATATTTTATCAATGTATAGCTCATATATACTGTTTAGATATTTGATAAAAAAAAGAGTATGCCAGTCAGTGTAAGAAATGGAGTCGCAGTCTTTTACTCTGTAACAATACATTTATTTCTTTCTGAAAATTACGTTAAGGTCCATTCATTAAAAAAATCGCGGTGATCTTTTGAATAGTGCGAGTATTATTATGAGCCATTTTAAAGCGAAACCTCGATCTTTCTTTGATATTTTCTCATGTGTTGACCAGATCCGTTTCGAAGTCGAATTAAAAAAATATTTTTATTCATCCATAAGTCTCATTTGTTGAAATTATCCAACTATCAGTACATATTGACTTCAAGAAAGAGAGAGCGAGTAAGAATCTATATTTCAGACCAAATCTATACATACGTGAAATATGTGCATCGTTCGCGTTCGTTGGCCCAATAATACGACTGTGATGTAATTGACTTTAGACCGTATTAGTTATTAAAATGAATGGAAGTTGAACCTAAAAAAATCAATTCAACTCTAATTTCCTCGAGTATTAGTAGTAGTAGATGTGTTTTCGAAGGATATTCTCCTTTTTATTGGAATCAATATTTAACAAGTAACAAGGCTTTTCCAATTAAAATAATGGTATAATTGTACAATATAGTTTTTATGATATTCGACAAAATTATTGAAGTCACTGACTAGAAAACAAATATTACCTATCACTAAACTGATTTTAGTACTAAAATACTGTTTTCATAGTCTACAATCATTGACACGGGGTTCATAAATTTATCTTCTATAGATCGATGCATTCTACATGACTCCTATAAAATTAGACACATATAAAAAGAGTCAGTTTTTCATGGCTCAGTGTGAATATCTGTGTTTACGTCAACAAAAGATGTCAATAATTTAAAAATCACCATCATGACGATGATCTAATAATTGCGTATTTACTTCAAATATATTTTAAATACGATCATTTTTGTTAGCTGAATATTGAAAATGTTAAAGAGAGGACATTAAGAACAAAAATTGACTGATAAAATAAACTCCAAAAATTTAATATTCATCCGCATTTTCTTCTGCTTCACCCTAAATAAAAAGCAGACATCGATGTTATAATAAAATCATCAAATAAAATTTTTTGCATACATTAACAGTGTCAGTTCCAACCTCTTCATAATCTTTTTCCAACGCTGCTAAATCTTCACGTGCTTCACTGAATTCACCTTCTTCCATACCCTCACCAACATACCAATGAACAAAAGCTCGTTTAGCATACATCATATCAAATTTATAATTAAGCCGAGCCCATGCCTCTATAATAAAGAAAGATAATACTATATAGCTGTTAAACTTCAATATATATTACCTCCGATGACTGTTGTATTCGATAGCATACACAAAGCTCTTTCGACTTTGGCGAGATCTCCTCCAGGAACTGCTGATGGCGGTTGATAATTAATTCCAACTTTGAATCCTGTTGGACACCAATCGACAAACTGAATAGTTCGTTTTACTTTAATAGCTGCTATTGCAGCACTAACATCTTTTGGAACAACATCACCACGATATAGCATACAACATGCCATATATTTTCCTATTATATAATGAGAGAAAAAAAACAATAAAGTTTTATGCACTATTTTAGATTTACCATTTCGTGGATCACATTTAATCATTTGATTTGCTGGTTCAAATACTGCATTTGTAAGTTGTGCTACTGATAATAATTCGTGATAGGCTTTTTCGGCTATTAAATGAAAATTTTAAAAAAATGCTTAAAGAAACGAATCTTTTCTCTCTACAAACCACTAATAATCGGTGAATATGTTGATAATGGAAAGTGAATTCTTGGATATGGAACAAGATTTACTTGAAATTCATTAAGATCAGTATTTAAAGCTCCGTCGAATCGTAATGAAGCTGTAATAGATGATACTATTTGAGCTAACAGTCGATTCAGATTAGTATATGTTGGTCGTTCAATATTCAAATTTCGACGGCAAATATCGTATATTGCTTCATTGTCAACTAAAAATGCGCAGTCCGAATGTTCAAGTGTTGTATGAGTCGTAAGAATTGAATTATAAGGTTCGACTACAGCCGATGAAATCTGTGGTGCAGGATAGATAGCGAATTCAAGTTTAGATTTTTTTCCATAATCTTGACTTAAACGTTCCATGAGAAGAGATGTAAAACCAGATCCAGTACCACCTATTATATACAGTTAAAAAAAACAAATTTTATTCAATTATTTATGTCTATGAATATTACCTCCAAATGAATGAAAGACTAAAAATCCTTGTAAACCTGTACATTGATCTGCTACTTTACGAAGTCGATCAAGAACTAAATCAATTATTTCTTTGCCAACGGTGTAATGTCCACGTGCATAATTATTGGCTATTTTTTTTCAAACAAAACGAAAACTTGTAAACATTTATTCATTGATATTAAATTTTCATTTTATACCTGCATCTTCTTTTCCCGTTATTAAATGTTCTGGATGAAATAACTGTCGATAAGTACCCGTTCGAATTTCATCTAAATAATTTAAAAAACCAAAATTTATTTTTTAATTTAAATGTTTCTTTTTTTTAAATTAAATGTACCAATTACTGTCGGCTCTAAATCCACCATAACAGCCCGTGGTACATGTTTTCCAGCGCCAGTTTCGTTAAAAAATGTTCCAAAAGAATTATCAGCACGACCATTAGAAGTTGAATCTGATGGCATTGATCCATCAGGCTGAATACCATGTTCTAAACAAAATAATTCCCAGCAGGCATTTCCCATTTGAACTCCCGCTTGGCCGACATGAATTGAAATACATTCGCGCATGATATCTTGTTTTTCTCTTTTTTTTTACTTTTATCACACAAACTACTAGCTCCTATCGTTGTTCGTCCTTATATATAAGAAGGGAAGAGAGCAAGAGAGCACACGACGAAATTTATTGATGACTCATTTAGCAAAAAAATAAAATAAGAACAGAGAAGAGAAAAACATTACTTATTATTGAATCTTGTCGAGAAATCAGCTGTATTTTCTCAATCCTTTAAGTGTACAATAGTATGATTCATGTTTTTCTTTAAAATCATATCCCGGATGATTCAATAGATGTTGAAATTAGCTGTTCATTCTGTTACAGGAATTGTAGTCATCTTTTTATTTTATTCAAACAATTCTTGCATTCTCTGTGTCATCATTAGTAGTAAAATCATATTGCACATAGAATGAATCACCTATATGACGCATTCATTTCGAAATAAGTATAGTATACGAAAGTAATATGTGAAATGTTAAATAGCTGAGCTCAATCGAATTGATAAACAGATAGTTAATCATATCTTATCGATCGTTTAAGTAATTTCAAAATTTCCAACCTTGACGAGATAATAAAACAGTCTGTCAGTTGCTTATCTCTTTGCATATGAATCGATAATTTTGACCGTGCGCTATTGATTAGTCGCTCATTTTCGATTTTTGCATCATTTACTTCCCTCTTATTGCATGTATTTTTCATTGAATTGTGAAAGAATGTTAAAATCATAGAAAAGTCGATAATTATACGTGAATTCGAATGATATAATAGTTCAGTAGGCAATTTCACGTGTGGTGACTGAGAATGATCGCCTCATTTCACCTAAAAATTCGTTGATATAGGTGTGATAATGACATTCAATATGATTAACAAGAAAACAAAATATCTGAAATAGTTTAAAGAATGTGAAAAAGTGACCTACAGATAATTGAAAATGTAACTGAATACCCATGCGTCTTCCTTTGATTAAAAACAAACGAATGTGATAATAATCTCTGCCATCCTCTTTAATCATGCTGAATTTCTGCAAAACAACATCAAGTCATTCTTTTAGCTATTAATAGTCTCTCGTCGAAAATGATCATTTTCTTTTATTATTCTTATCAGTTTTCTTGTCAGAAAATTTTAAAAATTATTTATTTTGTTTCTTCACTAATTAAGAAACTCATTTTATGTGTTTATTTTTTACAACTATTGATTTACAAATGATTTGTTAGCTGAATTATTCGTAACTGGCTAATATAGATATTTCATCTATGTGATTAACTATGCTACATTATCTGAAAATAATTCAGAGTCGATTATCACTAAGATTACAGATCAAAACATTCGATCAATCTCATGCAGAAGTTTGCTTGAGGATGGGGAGGTGGCAAAAAATAGGGCCTGTGTGTGTCTATTAAAAAAAACATTCCAATATTCTTTCAACGTCTACGACACGCAACGTGTGCAACAAATTGTTTGCCAGCTGAACAACATTGAGTTTCATTCATTACTAGAACAATGTCGTCGCATCATTCTAATTGAATTAATTTACCTCGTGAACACGCATATTTTCACCTCACACAAGCATCCCGATATAATGGAAACAGTGCTTGAGCTGCAATAAAGGCAAATAATGCTAATGAAATGAGTATGATATTCAATTTTTTTCCTTTGTCTACTTATTTTTTGTGAATGAAAAGATAAGCGTAAAAAGACGCAGGTCATGCAGCGTCATCGTCAACACAGTATGCTGTACTATCTATAACTAGATCAATAGAATACCGCTTACACAGCATGCGCTTTGCGATAGGATATAATATCATGAGTAGCAACAAAAAATTTATTTGTAATTAAATCGATATTATTTTGTGAAATAAATATTTATGAAACATGATGTGTCTATCAGTAATATGAAGGTATAAAGGAGCTTATCATTTATTGTTTTTATCCATTAAATCTAAGTTTAGAGATCTTGTGACCGGTTTTTTATTTTGTTGATAGTTTATATCGATGAAGTATTGCATTATTTTATTTTATCCACTTCCATGCGTTTGTCAAAAAAACAGAATACTCTCTAGTAACCTTGATAGAGGAAAGCAAATCTTTCGCTAAAACTGATGCAAAATCCCAATGCTCGTTCTTTGCAAAATATTTCAACTTGAAAAGTTCAAATAAAGGCGACTATCAAATACATTTTTATTTTACAAAGTAGCTATATGTAAGCTAAACAAAAGTATATTTTCTGGAATTGCTGATATTGTAAGAATGTGTATCGTCACCCTCTGATTTTATAAACAAAGTGTAAATAAACGAAAAGAATTCAAATAACGTAGAAAGAGAATAAAAAGGTTCTTGCTTATCTGTTTCATAGGGAAAGAAGGTGATTTAGATTATAAACAACGACGTTAGAGCTATAAACGCAAGTAGTTTCTTTTTATCTGACACAATAAAATTAAAAAAAGAGTAAAAAAAAACAAAATTACTGTTGTATGTACATCAATAGAATAATCTATTATTTAATCGTTGTTTGCAAAACGACGTTACTGTTAATCAATCACATTCTTGGCCAGTTTTCATCTTCTTCATCACTGTGAATTTCGACATGGTCGCTGCAAAACCCAATGAACTGTATTATTACACCTAATTTCGCACGACAACCATTACAAAGCCACCGTGAGCAATTGTCTTCGACTTCAAGCCGATCGAATTGGTCATTTTGATGGCAGCATTGGATTGCTTCACATTGTGCTGGAACACCGTTTGCCATATCTGTCCTGCATCCACATTTAAAATCGATACGAATGACAACTTACACTTAATTGCTTTAGATTTTTTATTGGCCGAATCCAATGGTAATATAGTTGTCATTGGTCTAATAATAGTTTGACCTGATGGATACGACGATTACAATCAACGTCACTCCATGATTCAAATGATCGGTTGACAACTAATTAGATAATTTTATAAAACAAGTGAAAAGAATGTGCCTCTCTTACCTTTTCAGATCATCTGTTAGTAAAAGTCGAACGTGCATTAATGCTTCCAAAGTAGTGATCATCAGGCGGGACCTTCCCGATGTTTGAATGTGATTATCTGCTGAGAACTAAAAAGTACAAAAATAGAATTTAGTAGAAGACATCTAAAGAGTGTACAACATACTCCTCTTTCGCACTCCGCTGAATTCGTGGGAGAAATTAAATGGATACTATAAGTAACATAAGTATATTTTTGTTTTGATCTTCAAATTGGCTGTTAAGAGATTGTTTTAACGATATGAAGTCCTTCCAAAAAGTTTGTTCTGAATGTGCTATCAGAGGCATATTTAAATAATCACTCAATGACTGTTTGAGTGACTCCCATTCACGTCGAACGCCATTTGCATTGAATTTGCCGAGATTTTAATATTTTTGTCGTAAAAAATCGAGCTCTGATCGTCCATAGTTCAACGAAGCAACATTTGTTTTATTTTTTAACAGGTATCGAGGATCAAATAATACTGACAAGTTTTCTTGTAATTTTGAATGGCTCAATCGTCTGTCTAATTCATGAAAGATACGTTCAATGTGTGCATAACAATCATTAAAGAGTTTTTGTCGATTATTCATATTTATTTTGAAACTACCGAATGATCCTTTATCTGTTAAATGAACGTAATCAGACAGGGCTGGGCTCATTGTCAATGTTGATTGAGATGCCCAAGATTTTAAAATATTTCTTTTTTTCGGCAATAGTTTCCATTAATGTAAAATAAGATAGATGATCATGTTGCATAAATTTAGTAATAGGACCTGGATTAAAAATGATTAAAGTCAGATGAATGAAAATGTTTGAAAAATGTATGAACTTACCTAAAATAAACTCGTGCAAGTCATGATGGAAGTATAATAAAAACAAAAAACTGGCATTTAATATGGAAGTAAGTAATTCTTTGGGCAATTGACGATCAGCATTTGAAGAATTCAAATCAGATGATACTTGTTGAAGACATGCCAGCAAAGCTTGATAACGTTAAAAAGCAAATTTTGCTATTGAGTTCATCAGGAACTGATTTAGTCTTTGGTTACCTGGCTGTAGATTCTCCACTATTAGCTTTATGCAGCCACGTATGGAAGACCATCTAATGTCGAAGATTTGTTTTTATTCAGGCATCTCCAAAAAGTTGCGCCATGCTTTTAACTTTTGTTGATGGTCAATGCTTCGACCAAAATAAGTGTAAATTTTACCAATTACTTCTTCAAGTTGAGCAATAGATTCACAAATAGCAGGTTTATTATTATCTATAACAACAATAAGAAAGATAAGAAAAGAACAATAGTTAAAAGGAAAACTTATAACTACGATCAAGTTTTGACGTATACGATGCTTGACTACCAACTAGTGCAAATGAATGAGAACAACAAGTGTTTAATTCGAGCCAGTCTGCTTGTAACTGTCGCATCATCAAACTATAAACAACCTGAATTACTACGTACAATTCTTTTAGGAATACATGATGGTGATGTTGCGAAACTCAGGCGACAACTTTAAACGTTGATGCATTATCGGCAGCGAACCAGCATGTATTGATTGCATTAATATCATCTTTTCGCCAAAATAGTACTTATTTTTATCAGTGTGAAGCTAGCACGATGAAACAGAGATTCAACTATAAGTCTTCTCAGAAGTATGGCCGGCCCATAAAAACCAGACCATTCGATGCAGAATTTAATTCTGGATCGGATGGTGATACTTTTATTCCCCAACAATACTTTGAGAAAATTCTATCTGGTTTTTCTTGTCCTATTTAGAAGAAAGCAAAGATGTAGGTAAAATTTTTTCCTAAGTATTACCGGGGAATAAAAGTATCACCATCCGATTCAGAATTAAATTCTGCATCGAATGGTCTGGTTTTTATGGACCGGTAATACTTCTGAGAAGACTTATAGTTGAGTCTCTGTTTCATCGTGCTAGCTCCGTCGTGCTAGCTTCCCACTGATGATGACAGTTGAACACTATTGCCTACCGTTCGTAAGCAATTTCAATTCTTAGATCACCAATATACCATCTGTACAACATCCAGCTGACTGTTTTCAATGTTCAAATATTCGCCAATATNTCAATATTCAAAAGTCACGACGATAATTTATTTGGAAAAATCGATTTATTTTTCAAGTGTAACAATAAAAATTTTGCTTTAATTCATAATCATCGATTGAAACATTTGTTCACAGATTATTTTCTCTTATCTAATTATCATGACATCTTGCTTAAAGCACTCAATGTGTATTTCTATGTACTTCATCATACTTCTACTCTTACTGATGTTGTCACTGTTGACAACATATCAAATATGTGTGTTGTAACACCACTATCATCATCATACGAACACGACTAATTTATTCTTTTCAATAAACTTCTATTAGCATAGTAGTCTGATAATGTTTTCAATATTTATGTATAAAATAATGAATGAGAAAAATGGATGGCCAATTTTTTCCTTCGTCCTATCAAGCGAGAGAGCGAACCTAAATCGATCTCGTTTCAAACTATTGCTTTCTTTTCTTTCGTCCGACCAAGCAAGAAAGTGTACCTAGATACATCCCATTGCAAACTATTGTTAACTTTTTCTTCGTCAGGTCACACGAGAAATCGAATCTAGATAGATCCTATTTCAGACTGTTGTTTCTTTTCTGTGGTAGTCTTTATATATGAATATAGCTATAGATATACTCTAAGTTTTAGTATTTTTCGTCATTTGCGCATTCAACATCTTCGTATAGTAATGGCATCAAGTCGACAAACGTTTCCACGTCGAGTTTTTACTTCAACACAACACACACCGCCTTCAACTCATTACTTACTTTTATTTGAAGAAACTAATTCTTGCCAAATAGTTGCCCTATCAAGTCTTAAAAATATAAATGATGATGTTGCATTTATTCTTATTCGTAATAAACTTTTACAAGCCAAAATAGTCTTTCATGGTCTACTATCATATTTATTTATTTATTTTATTCTCGTTTATTGTCTTTCAGGTTCCCTTGAAGATTGCAATAGTGAATATGCTCGATTAACTCGTTTATCACAAGATCAAGTCGATGATCAAAATTATCGTAATATTCTGGCTTCATGTTTCAAACTGATACATACCACAGTTCGTCATTCTTTCAGATGATTCAATTCAAGATGCAATCAATATCATTAATTCATCTATGACAAATATAAGATCTTCAAAAATTGATCGAACACGTTTATCATCATCAACTTCATCATCAACACGAATTTCAACATGTGTACAAGCACCAGAAAAAATAGATGTTGAAGGTTATGCTTAATTCTTTACTTTTCAATGTAGATTTTAATTGTGATCACCTAGTATACACAATTTTTGTTCGCTCTATCAGCACGGCAAGTGCAGTCTTTGAGAAGTAATGCATCTTATATATTCAAAATGAATCATTTTCATTTCTTCATCAAAACGATTGTAGTTGTAACGTTTTATCACTACAAACAATTTATAAATGAAGATGTTTTGTGCCATTCGTATATTAATAATATAGTTTAATCGTTATAGATTCGACGAGATATTTTACCTATTGTAAAAGTTTTGTTTTCTTTGTTTTATATAATAACTTATATTATTTTATTTTATTAAACAAGTGTCAGATAGTGATGATGAAGAAAATTCATCTTTTGATTGTCGTAAACGAACAAAGAAAACATTATTTGAATCATCATCAAAGAAGAGAAAGAGCACCATCGGTAAACCTTTAACACAACGTGTTTTAACAGCGTCAAATGAGTTGAAATAATATGACTACGATTGTCATACATCTATTAATTCAGATGATGAAAATATTACCATGAGTAACAAAAACAAATCAAATGTTCTTCAAGATATCGATAAACGAGTAAACCAATTAAATGAAAAATTAATCTGAAATTCATCTAAACTCGATCAACTAATGCAAAAATTATACGTGAAAATAGATCGTCTTACTTCTAATATCATATCGTAAGTCATTTAAAACAAAACAAATTTGCTATTATTTCGTTGAATTGAAAATAATTTACGAGATGTTAATCGTTTTTTAATTATTTAATACCTTTGAAATAAGAAAAAAAGAATGCCAGTAAAAAATTGAGGTGTTTAAATGAATACGAACAAATTTAGATTTGAACACCTTTATACTTAAATATTCAAAACCGTATAAACACAGCTTTTCGATATGTTACCTGTTTCCATTTGTCTTCAAAGTTACTTTTTTGTTTTAGCATAAATATGCTCTTGAACCATATGTAGATCAAACTGGTGAAACGTTTCCAGATGTACTGGTAAGTTTTCCTACTTATAAATCAAGAGATTTCGCTACTACATTGTATAGACCGAGACGGACTAACATAATAAATTATTAAATTTGTTCGGCTCAGTCAGATCAAATTGATCCAATCGATCTAGATAGAAACTTTTATGAATTTAAAAAAACAATATTTAACATCTTTTGATAATCTGTAGAATGAAATCGACTGAAGATTATTCGGCGGTTCCATCGGATAAAATGGATCTTTTTTCAAAATAGATCGAACCGAATCAAATACAGATTTTTAAGAATTTGTTTGAAAACAAACCAAACGAAAATATTTACATAGTAGATTTGAATAGAATGAAATGAGATTCCTTTTGAAAACTTCATCGAATCGAATTCGATAATATCCTTTTGATAATTTTCTGACATCAAATTCAATGATGTTTTTTTTCCAAGAAATCGAATTATGATTTTTCGAGAGTAGAGTAGATAAAATGAAGTTGAATTAAGATTAGTCGATGATTTTATCAAATCAAATTGCATGGGATAGTTTCTGAAAAGTAGATCGAATAGAATTTATTTTCAGGTATTAGACTGTTTCATGAATAACAAATAGCCAGTGTTATGACGATGTCCTAGAGATTGAAGTACCCATTCTTTGTATTACGCCAATAACCTTTTTTTCTATACTGTTTATTTTTTACCTATCACTCATATATCTCTATTCAGTATTACTTAGAATAATTGAAACTATATCGATTTTATGTCGATCAATATAAGATATTGTAATATCAATATTTCCTTCTATTGTTTTTCAGTCCTATACATGTCAATAAATCATGAAAATAGCAAATATTAACTTATAAAATAATAATATAAGCAAAACATGAAACTATGGCAAAGTACTGAGTACAATGTACTACCGTACATAGTACCCAGAAGAATCATTCCGATAGTAGGATCCGATAAGATCCCAGAGGGAATCCTATCCGATATCATTAAAATGTTAATAAAACCGATGAAATTCCGTTGGATTCCTGGAAACGAATTTACAGTCGGATCCCTGCCGCTGAAATCCGAGAAAAACCTGTGTCGGAATTCAACGGAAACTGACGCTAGCATACAACCCTTGTAATTTGATGGCATCAGATGCTTATTCACTCCTGATTAAGAAAATTGATTTTGTCCGTCGGATCCGACAGCGATTCCTCAATCAGGAACCCGTCGGGTTTTTGTCGGAATGTTGGATCCTAAGAGATCCGATGGAATCCGATGTCGGATTAGTTCACCTGGGTATCTTATGAACATAAATGAGAGAAAATATTTTTCGATATTTTCGTAAATACAAAGATATTATTAATCTTTATTCCATACAAATAACGCCTGTATTCATATTCGTTTCATTTATCTTCTTATTCTCAACTACCGATATTTTATTTGCTATTTATTCCTTATTGTAAAAATGTATGAAGATGAAGTAACATCCAAATTCGAGAGAGAACTTTCTGTGTGGACGACTATCAAATTTTATTTTAACCAGTATTTTCATTTAATGCACAAAACTTTTTTCCTTTCCTCGTTCAACAAATGATTTTCGTATTCTTTTCTTTTTTCGCCACGTGTTCTTTGTTTTCTTTTCTCCTGTCCTTCGAGATATATTCATACTATCCAACTCTGTATCCATGAAATCCAGCAACTATGTAACAAAAACGTTACATAAAAAATTCAAACGAGACTCTTTTACCTACAAACAAATTCCATATCACTCTCAACTTTATTCTCACTATTTTCTAGATAAACTCATGAATAAGCATCATATCTTGCATCTACTGCGAAAGACATGAACGAATGATCTCAATTTTCTGTCTACTGAAGCATGTCATGATACAAAAGACGTTTTCAAATACTTTCCATCCGGCACAAAATTTCGCCAAAATTCATTCGTTAACACACCACCAATAGAAAGGTTCTTATAGTTTAGAAAAATCCCTTGATGAATATGAAAAGTCCCATGAAAGGTCGACTGACGAATATGAAAGATCTTCTGTAAAATAGAAAGGTACGCTACAAATACTAGGAATATGTCTACACGAATAGAGAAAGGTCCTTATGAGTCACAAAAGTCCCTTTGTGCATATGAAAAGCCCCATGAAAGATTCGCTGAAGAATAAGAAAGATACGCTGTAAAATAGAAAGGTCCGCCACAAATACTAGGAATATGTGTACATGAATAGAGAAAGGTCCTTATGATTTACAAAAGTTCCTTGGTGAATATGAAAAGTCCAGTGAAAGGTCCGCTGAAGAATAAGAAAGATCCGCTACAAATACTAGGAATATGTCTACACGAATAGAGAAAGGTCCTTATAGATATAGAAAGGTGCCACATCAAAAAAGATAGGTCCTGTGGCATTAGGAAGAAATTCGTATAACTCATATTCGATAAATCCACTGCCCTTTTGTTCGATTAGTAATATCCGTTATAATTTCAAAGGACTTTTCGTAAAGTGGACATTTTCTGGATCTTTGCCAGCCCTCAGTCATCAAGTAAATGCAATGTATATACTTCTTTTTAATTAACATCAGTTAAAGATTAAACGAATTACGATTACAGTAATCGAAAACTGCAAGATCACATAAGCCCAATTGAGATATAAAAATTTTACTCTGATTAATTAGTTTATTAGCGGATCGGTTGGTCAACATCTCAGTTGATACCTAACTGATATGAGTACCATTTTATTCTGCAACAGGGCCAGTTAAATTTATTAACTTGCTAAAGAAACATTTCCTTCGTACTTCGATATCTTTACGTACCTACATTTTATCGTTAGTCTCTATTGTTTTCAGATGAAAATTAAAAAGAACAATTTACCGTTCGTAGTAGATCCTATCAATTTCTACTATCTACGTGTCATGCTTGATTGAATTGACTGTTCTTGCGTGCTGTTTAACCTTGCCTTGTGAGGTCCCTTTTTCATATGACAGCTTGTCCGGCTAACGGTCAACCAGACTGATCAGAGTAGACGCTGAATATTTTTAGAAACTCGTAACATCGTACTATAGGACACGCTTTACAGTATTACGAAACGTATTTTGTTTTATCTTTTCGTTCAATAGACGGAGAAAATATTAAAATAAAGTCTTGATATGTTTTGCAAAATCTTTTGCTGTTTTCGTACCTACAAAGAAAACGATCGAAAATGGCTAAAAATGCTACTGAGTCTAGAGTAGTACTATATATTCTGAATGTGCATAGTTGGGTCTTTCTTCTCTCACAAAGTTCATATGATATGTGGTTGCTAGAAGAAAACGAAACTACTTTAAAAGGTTGATAAATTTTGGGGTGAGTGCGTTACCAAAAAGGTCTCTTAGTTTGTTTTACACCACAGCTCCAGGGTATTGTCTCGCAATTGCTCTTGACGCTTCGATAGTTTTCTACGACCTGTCCAACAGTCGACTTCGATTCCGGATATTTTTCTCTTTTTGCAAAAAAATGGTAACGCATTCACGCCAGATACACTTTAGTTTATAATGTTTTTTTTAACCTCGAGATTGATTACACTGATTTTTCCCAATAGCACAGATCCCAGAGTTATTACTATAGTGACAACGAGAGAGAACCTCTTATATCTACAAAAAGGCAAGAGAACTCCCAGAAAAATATTATCACGATAGAATTTTATTAAGAATCAACACCACAGCTCAACAAGGAATCGTTCTCCAATACCTTGTACTTTGAATATAGCTATTAACTGTCTGAATATTATATAGATAGGCAATTATATAATAGAATAAGCAAAATTAACTAAACGTTAGCTTAATAAATAGGAATATTTTGTTTCGAACCTGCAAATACTGAAAAAACAAGAAACAGTACTTTTGCTATTAATATTGAAGGATGACCGGGATCGTTGGAATTGAAATTGCTAAGCAAGTACGCGTGTTTTTCGTTCGTTTTCATATTAAAACATGAAAGGAGCAAGATACTATTGAAAAAGAATTTCTTCGGCTTGAAGTCCTTAAGGTCT